GACATTTATCGATGTTCGTCTAGGAACTCGAATCCGGATGGAGTCAGCGGTACTCCCGATCCTATATTTCCGAGTCAATGGATCCCCTCTTGACCATCGTTCGTTTCCGCATATGAACAACGCATGACCAAATAGGCTTTATTGTACGAAACATGATTAGTCTCGTACTTATACACCGTATGAACCATACGCATCCATATCGGATCCGACTACAATGTCTCAGGTCAAAGGACTACATCGTGCACTGATATAACCAAATGATAAATCATTGACTACATGCTTTTCCAAGTGATTTGTCGTTATTCGGTCACGTTCAAAAAACAGTTCACCAACCGTAAATCCATACCAATGCCCCAATGACATGACTATCATCGTCATCCGTACTTATATCAACTCATGATATTTTTCGGGAGCATCCGATATGCCTACTGTGCAATATAGTTGCCCAAATTATATTGCTTCTGTAGGGAACCCTTTTCGATAATTCATTTACCGATTAAATGAATCATCTGGGCAATTCATATACATACTTTATTTTAAATGCATGACTGAATAAAGGAAGCAATTTATATATATGAATTTCATATACATACTTTATTTTAAATGCATGACTGAATAAAGGAAGCAATTTATATATATGAATTGAAGAACTCTTTCTTCTATTATTTATGATATATATATAGATATAAGACAAAATGCTCTGAAACCGACAACACGAATAGTTTCTAAGGCATACATTAATATACACTAACAGCACAATGGTTAGGGCTTGGAGCAGTAGTAAGTGTAGGATGATCAGCGATGAGAGGTTTGAGTATGTTCCCTAAGGGCCATGGGATTAGCCTCAAATTCCAACAATATGTAGATGTGGCATAAGGGCTGGATTTATTCCTCTCAGTGATAAGGAGGTCTATTGGTTCTTCACTTGTACTCAATCTATTTCTAAAGGTAATTGGCATTAGTTTTTCTCTCCACTGATTTAATTTACTGGGAAAATCTTCATTCATTAGCAAATTTTCCATTTTCTACTGTCTATGAAGATAAACATAGTATAAGATTATATTAGATTACAATTCTTTAAAGGTATCGGTGTCTTTTTACAGGTCATCGTTGATGTTACAAGTTTGTCGCTAATTAATTTTCAATCAAATTTATGTTTTAGTCCAAATTTCAACAAGCATACCAATCACTATTTTACTATTACAAGTGCATCGTAAAAAGTTCATATTCACACTTTTTCATTATGATTTCATCATACAATCTTGTAAAATTCTTCTTTTATTTTAGGAGAAAACATGCCAGGAAATCCAGAACTAATACAAAGAAAAGTAATTGAGAAGTATGCCAAGAACTTCCCTCCATTGTTCCTAGAAATCGTCCGGCGAACCAATCTTTCGACATTGACCTGGGCTCCATTGATGTTCAAGTAACCATGGAACATAATGTTTGGGCATCTAAACAAACTAAACATAACAGTGGTAGGCGATGCCATGCACGCCATGGCACTTGAACTAGCTCAAGGTGGAGCTGCAGCTCTAGAAGATTCCGTGGTACTTGGCAGGAACATTGCCAATTCATTAATAAAAAATAATGGAAGATTTGTTACAACAGATATAGCTGAAGCCATTGATGGATATGTTAAGGAAAGAAGGTGGCGTGTGTTTTGGCTTGTCATAGGCTCGTATTTATCAGGACGGGTGCAACAAAATGGTTCAAATTGGTGGATGAAATTCCTGAGAGATGCCATTTTCTATAGGTTCCTTTTTGTCTAAGATTGTTAGTGCTATGGATTTCAATTGTGGGACAATTCCTAGTGTTTCCTTCCCTAGTGACACTATAAGAAAATAGGTTTATGGTAGGTGTAATATCTATTGTTGTTAAAAAACCATTGGACTTATAGTTGGACGATAAGACTTTAGTCATTTGGGTAGATTACCTAGAGATCGGGCTTGTAGAGTGTTCAATGAATATTGGAGAATAAACCCTGGTCATAAGAAAAAAAAAAAATCTATTGTTGAAATCCTTTCTAAACAAGCGCCTACAAAAATAATTAAAAAAAAAAAAGGGAGATTTATGGAGAGTTTGAAGTGTTTTACTGCATTTCTAAGTGCTGAAGTACTATTCCAGATTCTCCTTTCAAATTATGCATCTTCATGAGGTATACTGAACAAATAATTAGAGATATTAACATACTATTGTTTACTTTAAAATTATCAACCTTGTAATATTACAAACTAAATTTATAAAGCTAAACATTATAAATATTACATACTTCAATGTCAATTTTGTGAAGTTTCAAATTCAATTTTCCATAAATACAACATGCTATATAAAGTTTTAGCCTAGTGCAGCCTAGTGGGTTTTTGCCCATGAAATTGGGCCATAATACCAGGCAAGAGCAACACCGTAGCTTGGGTTGGGCTTGAAAGCGGCCGTGCTAGACCCATTAATTTGGGATAAAAGTGATTAGCAAGTAGTATGAAGTTATTTAAGAATGATTATCATTAGCCCTATCTTGCATTTAATGAAGGATAAAATGTCATCTTCTATTTATTTTATTTTATTTTATTATTATCGTACTTTTAAAAGAGTGATGCTATTGACTCACACATTTTATCTTTTAGTAATGCTATGGATACCGGATTTGTGCACCAAATTTTTTTACCGAATGATGTGGCATCCACTAAGACGCGGCCACGTTAGGCAGAAAATACTGACTCCACGTCAATATCAATGGACTCCCGTCCATATAATATAGACGGATGTCCATTTACTATGGGCGGGTGTCCATTTACTATGGACGGACGTTCATCCAGAAAAGCTTAAACACAAATAATGGACGGGCGTCCATATACAATGGACGATCGTTCATACCCAAATTCTAGTTTAATAAAAAATTTTCTTTAAAATTTTCAATTAGAATGTTTAAAAAATTAGGGCTCCCAAACAGGTTTTAAAAAACAAAAGCCTTCTACTGCCATTCTTCGTCTTCTTCATCTCCATTTGTCGTCGTTCTTCATCTCCATTTGTCGTCATTCTTCGTCTCCATCTGCTACCGTTCTTCGTCTTCATCATCGCCATCCTAGACTCTGGCATTACATTGTGAGTATTTTTTATCTAGTTCTTCATTTCTCTCTTGCCTTGCATTTTTTTTTTTTATAAATGAAAAAAAATTGTAAATTTAAAAAAAATATATATATTTGAGTATGTATGCCAGTCCATCTCATTTGTATAGCCGTCCATTGTATATGGACGTCCATCCTCATTAGATGGACTAGAGTCCATACTATGTACTTTAAAAATCAAAGTTTTTTTTTTTTCCTTTATTTCATCTAAAATTTTGTGCTTTAAAAATGAATATTTCATCTAAAAATTTTGACGCTTATTTGT